CGTACACTCAAGGTATTCATGCAGTAAAGTAGATTAACCCGTGTACCAATATTTATAATCAAAGCACAGGCATTGTTTACATTTAAATAACTCAGTTTTAGAAAACAAGTTCACGCTTCTAAGAACATTTGATTGGTAACGTATTGATGAAACCCTTCTTATATATTTAGTCGGACTTTTTTTACCCCCATGGCAACGCTCGGGGACATGTATGCTAGTTTGGAGTTAAAACATGTTATTTTATATATTTTGTTTCTTGATCGTCTGTATAGCAGTTTCTCCATAATAGCTAGATGGCGGAAAAGAGAAAATAATTGATTGTGTTGTGTACTTTAATTGTAAATGAATTGTCATCTAAAATGCGTTTTATTTATTTCTATATGTTTCAGATGTTGTGCGAACCCGAGACAAGTCACGAGGCATATTTATAAGACAAATGAAAAGAGTAATCAAATTAGATTTGTTAAAACGAAGACATTACTTTATAACTTATACTATTTTAACATTTGTTATTTTAGAGATCAAACATTGTGAGGAAACTTTCTAAAAGTAATGTTTTCAAATTCAATCAACATGAAAATGTACATTTTGAATTATGTTGTAAATGTTATTGTTCCACTTCATATATATTAATGTACATTATACAGATTAGATAATGAAAAATCAATGTCAAGAAAAACATTTTTATGGGGATGTCTAAAAGTATTTTAAAATGTGTTAGATTATTGTGTTTAATTAAAACAATAAAATATGAAATTCACATCTAGCACATGTATACATTTATGTTCATGCTAAAGTACAATCTTATTCTAACTCAGATTATTAGTTCAAACGTTATTATTATCATTATTATATATTCAGTTAAAATGCCATTTTATACTATTTTCTTGATATCAGTTATTGCAATTTTCATGGTGGTGCTTATTGCGTTCAACAATAAATTATAATATACACAAAGCGCCCATAATCTGTCACGGGTTTTCTAGGAAATAAACATTGTATTCATACGCACTTATGATTGGCTGCCAAAAAAGCACGTTTTTAATACGCTTTATTGGGACGAAAAAACAATCGACAATATAGGTGAGAAATAACAATCCTTAATATTTGCTCTGGTTAAAGTCATTCAATTTGTTTATACAAATCATAAAAAAACCTAATCCTACTTAACCCAACTCTAAACTCAACCCAAACACTAAGCTAGCTCCAATCATAAATGAAACTCCAAACCTTATGCCTAAACTTAGCCTATTAGCCCATAGCCTTAACTGATATATTAATGCACTATGATTGTATTATTAATGACAAAAGGCATTACCAAGTTGACGAGAATCATTCCATCATTATTGTTGACTTGCTAAAAAAGTTTTTTTTTAGATTTTGCAATCAAAGTGAGCATAAAACTTTTTTTAAAAACTACATATTGAGTCTGAAAAGAATTCAGAAATTTAATATTTTTAGAACCAATATTATTGAAGTTACACATAAAGAGAACGTTATTTACTTTTCTTTTTGATTTGAAGATACATTTATCTTTTTTTTTGCACTACAAGAACTCCAAGGTGATTATTATGCAAAACTCAAAAAACAAGTTAATTAAAAAGTCTAGTTTCATTTAAGCGCAATTTCCTTATGTTATCTAAAAATAGCTCTGTCGTAGCGTAAATCAAGAGCAGGGTTAGTAAAACCATTGGTTAGTTATTAAAACGTTTTTTATTAATTTTTTTCAGTATTTTACATGTTTTATTTACAATAGAGTTACATGACTAAAAACCATTGCGCGCCTACTGAATGTGATGACGCAGCCATTGAACGTGATGGCGCAGCTATTGAACGTGATGACGCGTGTGGTGTGATTGGAAAAAATGCCTACTAATTCGGTCCAAATTTTAATTAATTAAAAAAAAAATTTGTGACCTAACGAAAGGATATTTTTGAAAACTTTCTTCGGCAATATTGTTCTAAATTATGGCTGGAATCGATTGGTACATGTTTCAAGTCGCTAAGTGGTCTGGTTGCCGAGATATGGGCCAAAAACTGCATTTTTTCAAGGTTTTTTGGCTTTTCCGGGAAATCCATGAAAGAAACCCGTAATTTTTATGGCCTATGTTCATCCTCGTAACTTGCTTAACATAATTGCTTTTGGAACTAGTCATCGATATTGCTTCGTTGAGGAGAAGATACGACTTAAAGCTGCGGACACACATCCATCCATCCATCCATCCATCCATCCATTCATTCATACATTCATACATCCAGAAATGACGGGTTAATAAACGCAATTCTCCAGAATGGAAATTGCGCTAAAAAAATCATGCTGATATTATTTTTTAAGCTTCGCTAATTTTGTTTTTAATTTATGTGATGGGTGTGTTCAATAACATTGTTTTCGGCTTTTTTTACATTTTGATAAGTTACCTAAAATTGTAAAAACTTCAATTGAATACATTCTTTAGTAAAGTCCAACAAAAATCAACCAGTTTGATGTGTATAACTATATAGACATACATTTTTATTAACATCATACATTATTTCTAAAATATCAATGGGCAGTTCTCGGTTGAGTCCACTACACTATTAAAACAAAAGAAAACCGCCAAAAGTTATGTTTTTAACCCGAACTCGTAGCCCTCTTTCTTATAGATTCTACCACGCAGCACTTGAAAAAAAGTTAGAATAAAATCATAGAGTTGTATGAAATCATTCCAAAAATGTAAATTTAGGTAGGACTTTTCTATAAGGAGAAATCTATCAAATATTTACCGCTATCAAAAATACCTTCGTTGTTTAATTTGTTATTCCATGCTGGTGTAAGCACTTCAAAATTTCTTTCCATAAATTTGTTCTTTAAGTTCGTTTTAAGTGGACTTCATAATTGAAAAAAATACGAGTTATTTGCTTTTCTGTTTTTTTTATTATATTTTTAGTGTAATGTTTATACCGATTGTTTATTTTATTAAAACGTGCATTGTCAAATGTCGAATTCTGAGAAATTTGAAATGCAATATATCTTGACACAATTTTTTCTTTCTGTTTGGAGATAAGTCCGGTTGCAGGAGGGGACTCAATCTACGATGCTGATAATCCTGTCGTCATCAAAGACACCGTAAGGGAGCGTGTGAACCAATCAACCACAGCAACGTTTGTTTGTGAAGTTCCGCCATGTGAGTTATAAATACCAACATGTTACTGCTTACCTAGTATAATGCACACAACGTTTTATTTGCTCTTGTAAGCCTATAGAGTATAGAAGTATTTACTTCGTGAAAAATATCGTTTAGCACAGTCGGAACAAATTAGAAATATACTTATGTGTGGGTATATTACGCGTGTGTGAGGTAGTGTGTGTGGGGGATGAGACTGTGTATGTAGGACCTACCGTTTGAGTTAGATTAGTACGATTTAGGTTAGACTGAATAAATAGTGTTAGTTATATTTATATTGGGTACGTGTTATTAAATTTCGAAATGATTAAAAATAATCTTGGTTAATGCTTCTGCTTCGTTAAGATGATTCAGATAAAACTAATTAAAATGCAATTTGTGGTAAATAAAGTGTGTGTGCATACTAACGTAGAATGAAGATAACTTTAAATTTAGTGTGAAAGTAAGCCAAACAAACTAATAGCAGCTCATGTTAAATTTACAGTCTGTACATAGGAAAAGTTTAAGAGTGATATAACAATTATACTATGGATACGATGGGCTATTATATCGTTTAATAAAAGTGAACCAGGAGTATCCGGTGCCCCTAAAGGTGGTTGATTTGGCGTCTAATAATACATTTTTTAAATATATGAAAATAATAAGATTTTACTATCTAAATCTTTTTACATGATCTAATCAGAAATTGAGTTAACGACTCTAACGATAGACCTTTTGAATAGCGAGCAGATTTCCTTAGTCATTTCGCTCGATATAAACACACAGGAACAAATGTCATTTTTTTTATTATTTACTATAAGAAACATATTTCTGACGTATGATCTTATATTTGTGGAAAAGAAGGGGTAAAGGGAGGGGGGGGGGGGGGTAATGTTATGGAAATAAATAAAGTATTGAAAGGTTACGAGAGTGTGTGTAATGTGAAATGTTTTGCATTAATAGAAGTTGATGAGTTTATGACGCGGTAAGCAAGAATGTCACATTTTAGTGTAGTAGGCCTATCGTTGTGGTTGGGGAAGAAAGTTAAGTTTGTTAATGTTTGAGAGAGTTTTTTTTTCTTTGAGTTACGAGCTAAATTTGAGATACGCTTTACCGTATTAGCGGGTTTCACAATCTTCTGCAAATCACACTTTAAAATGTGTAATTGATTGTATATTGAAACTATGAAACGACTTGGTCTAACTTATTTCCGCAATATATTATAAAAATTGAGGAAGAAACAAATAACATTAAACAATTTAGTTTACAATGTTATTTATATTAAAATGAGTAAAAATGCGAAGAAAAATGTAAATATTGGTGAGAATAATTTCACACAAGTTAAGCAAAAATTACAATACTTATCGAGTAACATTGAAGTTCAACTTTGTTCACAGAATGTTAGTTAAGTTCCATTAATTTTAGAGAAAACGCGTTACATTACAATTGTAACAAGTCTGTTAATTAAAGGGACAAATGCTCCTTTACCCTACTCTTCCGCCATCATCTCCAGTTAGCTCATGTTGAGTGATTTCCAAACAATATACACTTAATAAAACCAGTTTATTTCTTTTTATACTCCTTTCTTGTTGTTTTTTTTTTAGACATTTTTAATTCATGTATTTAATCAGTCATTTTTCTAATTGAATATAAGTAAAAAAAATCGGTGGCTCAACTGTTTGAAGGCAGATTGGAAAGTAACTAATTATAATTTTATTTTAGAGTACCACTGTGTATGTGCGTGTGTGTAAACAAATATGTTTCTTTTATTGCTTATCTAATACGTTATTGTTAAATTGATTTTCTTTTTGTTATAAACTAACCTTTTTTTTTAATCCAGACTTTGAGTTTAACACCATGGACCTTGACCTAAGGAAAATTGTAAGTAAAAGTAATTACTCGTTTTAAAGAAACATCGACATCATTTTCAGCGAATACAATTGTTTAGGAGGAATGCATTGTTTGTTCAAGCAAATTGTCAAAAAATGTACCCACACATGATTATGATTGTGTAAATCTGCTTACAAATGCCTACTTTATTTAATAATACGGTATGCCGATATCGCGTTTACTTTAGATTATGTGTAGGAAAACATGGTTAATACAATGTCTGTATCACAATACAAAGTTTAATATAATATTAACAAGAAGATAATGGACCACACGTGTATAGGTATTTACTCATGTTGTTATATTCAAAATAATACAATATTACTGATCTATATTTAAAGCACATGTTTGAAATATATATTTACCTAAATTATTTGCTGTCTGCTATAGACTACCTAGAAGATAAAAACAATTATTTTAGCCTCATATATATTTAGATAATTAAACTTATGTTCCAACTTAAAGCTAATATTTAAATGATCTTAAATGGTTCTAATATATTTTATTAACATGAATGCCACAGAGCTATGATATACTTAAGAACAAATTGCGTGCACATAGAGTGGTTGAAAACACTTTGGACAAGATCTACTCTAAACTTACAACTATTGGAAGGGAAGTTATACCTGGTGATCTGAAACTCATAATCGACTTTCTAGATATGGTCTCGTCAGCAGTTAACTCTACAGTTATCATTGTAGATGATCATTTACTGAAGGTTGTGTTTTTGGTTTTCTAAAGCCATTTATAAATTATATGCGAATTTTGAGCTGTGACCTTGATTACGTTTAACATTCTTGCAATTTAATTACTATGATAAATATTGAGTCAATCATGAGAAACGTGCCTACATGATGTTACATTCGATACAAACTTGACTGGCATTAGTTAAGTTATATGATATTTTAGAAACATAAAAAAACACACATGTATGTATTTTAGCTTTGGTTTTACTATTAAAAAAACTGTAAGTGATTAATCTGTCTAATAAAATAATTTTGCATGGATTTGGAAACGCAAAGTAAATATCAGAGAAAATGACACACATTTTGTTGAGTCAACATTTTATAATTTTACAGCGATATCTTTTTTTTTAATAACTTCATTAAAATGTATTTAAAAATCTTTGTTTATCAGAAGATAACATCAGTGGTAGACTCGATAATACAAATAGAAGAACACGTCTGGCATCAGTTAAATAAGAGAGGGGAGCAGGCCGCGACTAGACTGGTTAACTACATGGAAAATATCGTCGTTAAATCTTCTGCAAACATTACAGTCATAATACAGGACACGCTAGGTAAAATATATAATATTTAAGTGTCAATTCCGAATCTATTTATTTTAATCAACGTTTACTCAGCTATGTGTTTTCTAAATATATGGGTAACATAATATGTATAAAAATGTGATATTTGCATTATAATAATAATGATATTACTGGTCTCAATTATTCGAATGACAATCTTGTAGTAAATAACAATTGTCGCACCTGCACCTTCCAACGATTTTACTTATTCGGTACAGCGTCACCTCTTCATCCTACAACTTATTTTTATTGGATACATTTGCATTCGTAATGCAATGAATTTAATATGATTTTAAGCAAGACCAATTTCCCCGTCAAAAAGTTACATTATTTTCGCAACACCCCCCCCCCCCCACTCCTTTGCTTTTTTTCATGCCTTGAGACGTCACTGCTTGACATAACTCAATATTTCAATTAAAGTATATCCTTAACATGTATTGTATTGTGTTTCTCCATGTTAGAGTTGTAACTTTATATGCTATTCTATCTTCTATTAATATGACATTTACATCGATGTCTGTTAAAAAAATTAAATGTGTTTCTGCTCTTTAGCAATAATAATTAACCAATCAGAAGCTGACATACATTTCCCAATGGTCAATGGAGTCGAAGAATCCTATAATATATCATTGAAAACAAACAACAGTTTGTATTTGTCACACAATGTGAGCCAAACATTCGGTGGTAAGATTTACTTTTACAAAGTTTGAATTTTGATATCGTGCATTTGTAATTTACCTTTTACTTTAAAAATCATTCATTTACATACAACTGTTGTATTACTCAAGTACTTGTTAATTAATAAACAAAAAATACGTTGCGTTTCTTTAAATAAAAAAAAAAGGTTTTGATTGTTATGCTTCAGGCGCGCTCAATTACTCTATCATCATCTACGCCGGGTTGAAATCCAAGTTGATGGTAAATCAAGAAAAACAAAATAGGTAAACAAAAAGCACATACATACACACAAACATATATGCCCACAAACATATATATATATATATATATATATATATATATATATATATATATATAATTATATATATATAATTATATATATATAATTATATATATATATATATATATATATATATATATATATATATATATATATATATATATATATATATATATATATATATATATATTCGTTACAATCTCGCTAACAGGCACAACAAAGAACTCGCTAAGAAAACGTTGGTATCTGATATCATCGCATTTTCTATTCGTGGTTTTGATGGAGAACTTCATACCCCGCTCAGGGTTTCATTCTACACTAATTATGTAAGACATTACTTGTAGTTTTTTGATGTTTTATAATAAAAATGGTAATGTAATCATTGTTTTAACAGATATTATAAATTGTTTTATTACTCTCCAGGCTAATTACAGAACCCCAGTCTGTGTTTTCCTGGACTTTTCAGCTGAGTAAGTGCTCATAATGTCTAGCAGTCTGCTTTTCTAGTCAAAATATTAAACTGTAATTGGCAAATAAACAATGCTTGTTTTGTTTTAATTTTTCTTTTTCAAATTATGTTTTGTATTCAGTCAGAGCGGCGTGTGGTCGTCTGACGGGTGTCACGTGGTGTACTATGACCAGGACTATGTGACGTGTGAGTGCAGCCATACGACAAACTTCGCTGTTCTTATGAGTCCCTACATTGACCAGGTACGTTATATTTAACAAAGGTGTGTTGTATAAGCACATAATATGATCGGATATCAATTTACCTAACATAAAGTAACATGCCATTTGTGTTGTTTTTGTTATGAAATACTTTGTAAAAAAGTGCAACTATCTTTATTTTTAGTCTTTTTTTGTGACTGTTTTTTCTTTTCTTTTTTTTTTTGTTACGATTGAACATTTTGTTTTTTTTTTAACTTTTTATAAAAGTTGTTTCCAAATAGAAGCTAACATTCAAATCTCTATTCTCAGCATAAAGATAACTACATAATAAACACAATCTCCATCATATGTTTATCTGTATCTATAATATGTCTGCTGGCTACCGTCCTGGTCTATACCGTTCTGTGGAGGTAGGAAATAAGGAATCATGTAGGGCTATGCCATACGTATAAACATGTGTTTGAAATGTATTTTGTGCTAAGAAAAAGTTTTCAAAAAAGTTACGTATGTTAAGTTATTGTTTATCTTTAATAATAAGGCTTTTAGAAAGATATTGTATCAAATGAATAAATATTTTGTTATGACTAAAAAAAATCAAAGAAATTATAAATGTTATCTTACAAGGCTATGGTAAGTAGTATTTGTTTCTAATCTTATTCAATTCATAACTGCTAATTGAAAAGTTTTACATACACCTGTAGATATGTAAAATCTGACCGAGCTGTCCTTTATGTCAACCTATCTGTGACCTTGACACTTGGCTATGTCGTGTTTTTAGCGGGAATAAACCAGACACAAAACAAGGTAAATCATTGCAGCTTGAAATATCACAGTTAAACAAAGCCTGATTATATATATAAATATATATATATATATATATATATATATATATATATATATATATATATATATATACATATATATATATATATATATATATATATATATATATATATATATATATATATTTTATCTACGCACTTATAGATTTTAATAATATAAAGGATATAACAGATAATATTATAAACGTTAGTTTCCCTTGTTGAAACTGAAGTAATATTTTAAATTGTTATAACTTTTACTCTAATCAACCTTTTGGATTAGGTCTTGTGCACGGCCATTGCTGCGGTCCTTCACTTCCTGTTCCTTGTTGTGTTTTTCTCCATGCTGGGTCAAGGTCTCAATGTCCTCTTGTCAGTCATTAGTATGACGTCACGTCCGGTCCTGCGCTACTTACTTCCGTTGTCTTATGGTATGATGTCTTGTGACAATCTTTATACTAACATTCATTGGATGATTTAGTTTTCATTATTATTATTTTTAAGGTATTTAGGAATCAACTTAATATAATTAACCAGCATACAAAAATAGTTAAATATTATTGACGTGCAATATATTTATTAGATGAGTGTATATTAGATATTCACATTAAATGCTTAGAAAGTGAGAAGATATATTCTTAGGTGGATGTTTTGTTGTGTAACTATAATTACACTTTTAACACATAACAGAACATAGACCAATGCTTTCCTTAGATGCATGCGTCTAATTACCTGTTGCAAATTGTGATTGTATTGGTAGAAATGCATTATATATGTCGAATATAACGCTAAACGTTATATCCTTTAATATAACAATTTGAATACTACAACATTACAGGTGGACCTTTGCTTATTGTGGTCATAACTCTTGCAGTGACTAAAGCTCATGGATACACTACTGACACATAGTAAACTCCTACTTATAACTTATTTATCACAATGATTATAGCTCATAGATACACTACTGACACATAGTAAACTCGTAGTTGTAACGTATTTATCACAATGATTAAAGCTCATGGATACACTACTGACACATAGTAAACTCGTAGTTGTAACGTATTTATCACAATGATTAAAGCTCATGGATACACTACTGACACATAGTAAACTCTTAGTTGTAACGTATTTATCACAATGATTAAAGCTCATGGATACACTACTGACACATAGTAAACTCTTAGTTGTAACGTATTTATCACAATGATTAAAGCTCATAGATACATACTGACACATAGTAAACTCTTAGTTGTAACGTATTTATCACAATGTTTTTAAAAAAAATAATCATATATTGTGTAGTTCATTTCCATTGTATAATAGCCATGTTTATACATCAAATCTAACCCGGTCTTTTCAGTTGCTGGCTTTCCATTGAGTCTGGTGTCTTTTGGTCTTTTTCAGTCCCAGCGCTAAGTATTATTTTGGTAAGTCAAGGCAATTACTGTTAAACATTAAATAAATAAGTATTTTTGTCTTCTTTGGTTAATTTAATATATTAGTAACTATTTAAATGCGTAATATTATTCCCCAAATTTATTAATTGACCTTTTTACAAATAAAAATTAAATTACTTTTTATAAGTAAAAATGTTAATTATTTTTAACCTTTTTTGAAAAGTACAGTTTTTAATCCATTATTATGTTGATTTTCTACATATATTGTGTCTTATATTCCTAAAAGTGTGCATTCCTTTACAGCTAAATTTCATCATTGTGTTTGTTGTCCTTAAAGTCATGCAGACTTCACATTTCATGTCCAACAAACCACTTGTGGCTAGAACTAAGTAAGCGAAACATTGAGATGTTATACAACACTATTACCTACACGTAGTCTTTAAAATAATACATAACATTTGTATAGTGCGATACTTTGAGTTATTATTAGTTTTCTCATTTTTAAATATTACATGCATTGTTACATGTATGTACAATCGATAATAGGTCAGTTGTCCGGTCCATCTGTATCTTGTCCCCAATCCTCGGCCTGTCCTGGGTGTTTGGTGTCTTGTCCATGACAGACCCCCACGTGATCTTCCAGTACCTGTTTGCTCTCACTAACTCACTGCAGGTTCGTGGCGTTGTTTTAATATTTTTATTTAATTGTGTATTTAAAGGTTAGTGTTGTTGTTTTCTTATTTATATGCATTTACAATTCTAGTAGATCACTGAATGCTGTTTTATTTTATTTTATAATTTAAATTTGTATTTCCTATAATTGTCTTCTAAAGTTACGTTCATACTTGAAATATTATTGAATATATAAGGGATACATAAACAATGATTTATTTATTTTTTATTCGGTATTTTTTAAAAATATAACCTTGTTTTAAAAAGTTATATCCAGCTTTTAATCTTTGTCAGTGTATACATTGTTTGAAAGAAATTAAAGATGTACCAGTCTAACAGTCTAACATGATTCATAGTATTCGATGACAAATACAAATTGAGCAAAGAACATAAATGTAAAAAAGTAGGCATCTAACACAATCGAAGTTTATTTGTATACGACTGTTATTCGGAAGATTTTTTTTCTTTTCTATAAAAATATATTTTTGCTTCAATTTTCCAGGGTTTATTAATTTTCATTTGCCAGTGTTTGCTTCAACAGCAGGTAGGTGATTGATTTTTATCTAGAGGGAACAATTGATCTGAATAGACAGTATATAGGGTATATCACCTTGGTTCACTGTATACATATGCGTTATTTTGTTGGTCACCAACATGTATCACTTAATATAAAACATTGCTGTATTGATAACTATCGATTAAAGCTGATCCAGCTATACAAACTTAAGACTCTGTTATATACACTCATAAGTATCTAGACGTAGGTTAACAAGTAAAGTATGTTTTCAACATGAATTTAATTGTTTTAATGACGATTGAATTTAAACAGGTTCGAGATGGTGCGCGGACATTTATACGTAGGTACAGAGCGGACAAACTGGACTCTGGACATACAACTGGTCAAATGTTATAGTCACTGGTATGTTTAGTATAGGCCATTCTGGTCAAATGTTATAGTCACTGGTATGTTTAGTATAGGCCATTCTGGTCAAATGTTATAGTCACTGGTATGTTTAGTATAGGCCATTCTGGTCAAATGTTATAGTCACTGATATTTTTAGTATAGGCCATTCTGGTCAAATGTTATAGTCACTGGTATGTTTAGTACAGGCCATTCTGGTCAAATGTTATAGTCGCTGATATTTTTAGTATAGGCCATTCTGGTTAAATGTTATAGTCACTGGTATGTTTAGTGTAGGCCATTCTGGTCAAATGTTATAGTCACTGGTATGTTTAATATAGGCCATTCTGGTCAAATGTTATAGTCACTGGTATATTTAGTATAGGCCATTCTGGTGAAATGTTATAGTCACTGGTATGTTTAGTGTAGGCCATTCTGGTCAAATGTTATAGTCACTGGTATGTTTAGTATAGGCCATTCTGGTCAAATGTTATAGTCACTGGTATATTTAGTATAGGCCATTCTGGTGAAATGTTATAGTCACTGGTATGTTTAGTATAGGCCATTCTGGTCAAATGTTATAGTCACTGGTATGTTTAGTATAGGCCATTCTGGTCAAATGTTAAGTCACTGGTATGTTTAGTATAGGCCATTCTGGTCAAATGTTAAGTCACTGGTATGTTTAGTATAGGCCATTCTGGTCAAATGTTATAGTCACTGGTATGTTTAGTATAGGCCATTCTGGTCAAATGTTATAGTCACTGGTATGTTTAGTATAGGCAATTCTGGTCAAATGTTATAGTCACTGGTATGTTTAGTATAGGCCATACTGGTCATATGTTATATTCACTGGTATGTTTAGTATAGGCCATTCTGGTTAAATGTTATAGTCACTGGTATGTTTAGTATAGGCCATTCTGGTCAAATGTTATAGTCACTGGTATGTTTAGTATAGGCCATTTTGGTCAAATGTTATAGTCACTGATATTTTTAGTATAGGCCATTCTGGTCAAATGTTATAGTCACTGGTATGTTAAGTATAGGCCATTCTGGTCAAATGTTATAGTCACTGGTATGTTTAGTATAGGCCATTCTGGTCAAATGTTATAGTCACTGGTATGTTTAGTATAGGCCATTCTGGTCAAATGTTATAGTCACTGGTATGTTTAGTATAGGCCTTTCTGGTCAAATGTTATAGTCACTGGTATGTTTAGTATAGGCCATTCTGGTCATATGTTATATTCACTGGTATGTTTAGTATAGGCCATTCTGGTCAAATGTTATAGTCACTGGTATATTTAGTATAGGCCATACTGGTCAAATGATATAGTCACTGGTATGTTTAGTATAGGCCTTTCTCAATGTGGTGACTTTGATTTAGATAGTTTCAAAATGTTCTCAATTTTAGAAGGGTTAATTCAATAAATAAGGATTCAGTACACTTTAGTACCATTGACGGCGTGGCATGAGCGATTGAAGTCATTAGAGTGTCCAGCTGTGATGCGTTACTAACTTATGTTAATGTTAGGGAAAGTAAAGGCGGCTGTACAAAGTGCTGACCACACCTTCACTTTATGAGCCGATGTCAGGAAACTCTATTTCATCTACCCAATGTAACGCTATGTCTATATATGACGCTTTACTTTGTTTACACTTTAACTACACATCTGAGGTAACTTATGAATAATTACAATTGTCTATATAAGACACGCAAATGTATAAAACTATTGCGCTATACTGCCTGACAGTAACATCAAATTCGCGTAAATTTACGAACTCGTGTTTGGTAGAGTATGTGAATAACCTTATTGAGTAAGAATGTTACACTCACATTATTGTAATACACCTATGCCAATGACAATTTAGAATTAAAAATTTAATTTGAACAATATATTTAATGTATTTATTGTTGTTTTTTTTGCATAATTTATTATCCTTTTAAAACTATTACACTAAATAAGTACGACTTAATATTTTTTACTTATACTTACTTTTTTACTTATTTCAGATTATACCTTTTCGGAAATTGAACATATAAATGGACATATCTTAGCAATTATGATTTACTGACCAAATAGAGAAACGTATTTATGGGACAAGTAATGCCGCCTTAGAATAATCTCACGATTGATTGTTTACACCAGGGGTCTCCAAACTACGGCCCGCGGGCCGGATGCGGCCCGCGATGTCCTCTCATCCGGCCCGCGGAGATCTTTTTGTCCACGGAAAAAACGTTTGTTTGTGATGGCTGAGGAACTTGGTCCAGAAAAATCAAAGACAAGCCTGGAAGAAACTGGCCCTCGAAGTGAAATTTGATAGTTAATGCGGCCCTCGGACTGAAAAGTTTGGAGACCACTGGTTTACACTAACACCACATTGTGTCCATTATATAGAGGCATTAATACGTTAGGCTAGTTATACGGTTAGGACAACTTTGAGAAGGACAATAATGTATTAATTGTATAATTATAACCTGAAGCTATATGAAGTTTCGCTAAAATATTGGCCACCATTGAAGGTGTTTTGAATATGTTGCTACGTCGTGAAAAAAATACTTTACTGTGTTGGTTTGATTCTTGTTTAAATTAATATTCTAAAGCAAATATAGTAAAACTTAGGTTTTAATACCTTCAATTATTTCATTTTTTTAGAAAAAACTTGTTACTGTAGTTTGCACAGCACACTTTGCTTATAATTCTTTTTTACACGGAATGTTTTCTTACATTTAAAATACTTTAGCATGATTTTATATTGCCTTAATTTTATGTTTAAACATTTAATGATAATATAGTTTACTGGTTATACATTTTGTATACAATGTTTTTTGTTCATTTTGACATTAGCAAAAAAATATGTTTGCTCAATTTGTTTCTAATATTCATTTTTTTTAGAATTGCTAGTTTACAGACGTCGTTAGTCAATATATCATATCTGTACAATTGTATTTCTATCTCATTAACGTATATACTAGTGTTATTGTTAGCGCCACTGCTTGATTTGCATTTGCAATTCCATGATTATAATGTCAACAATGTTGTATCGCTATGTTCTTTTTATTTTTACGTGTGCTTCATATTGACTTTACATCTACTACACTGCATAACGAATTGCATTTATTTCAAGTCGTCAAAACATAGCTTAAAATCTGGTAATTTTTGCCCTGTTTTATCTGACCAATGATACAAAAATTATATTAATAAATAATCAAAAGTAGTGTTTATCCATAACGGGCGGATTCAATTCATTTGAAAATAACAATTTTACAATCAATTATAGGTTAATCGACATAATGCATTCTTTTCAATGTGTTTCTTGTAATCGACTTAACAGGGTTGTTGTAATATTAGATGGAACGCAATTATGTCAGACCAATATAGGTTATCATTTGTTCCAGTCGTAATAAAACCAATATGTAGCTAGTATTGTAAGATACACAATATGTAGCTAGTATTGTAAGATACACAATATGTAGCTAGTATTGTAAGGTGCACAATATGTAGCTAGTATTGTTAGATACACAATATGTAGCTAGTAATGTAAGGTGCACAATATGTAGCTAGTATTGTAAGATACACAATATGTAGCTAGTATTGTTAGATACACAATATGTAGCTAGTATTGTAAGATACACAATATGTAGCTAGTATTGTTAGATACACAATATGTAGCTAGTATTGTAAGATACACAATATGTAGCTAGTATTGTAAGATACACAATATGTAGCTAGTATTGTAAGATACACAATATGTAGCTAGTATTGTAAGATACACAATATGTAGCTAGTATTGTAAGATACACAATATGTAGCTAGTATTGTAAGGTGCACAATATGTAGCTAGTATTGTAAGATACACAATATGTAGCTAGTATTGTTAGATACACAATATGTAGCTAGTATTGTAAGATACACAATATGTAGCTAGTATTGTGAGATACACAATATGTAGCTAGTATTGTAAGATACACAATATGTAGCTAGTATTGTAAGATACACAATATGTAGCTAGTATTGTAAGATACACAATATGTAGCTAGTATTGTAAGATACACAATATGTAGCTAGTATTGTAAGATACACAATAAGTAGCTAGTATTGAAAGATACACAATACGTAGCTAGTATTGTAAGATACACAATATGCAGCTAGTATTGTAAGATACATAATAAGTAGCTAGTATTGTAAGATACACAATATGTAGCTAGTATTGTAAGATACACAATATGTAGCTAGTATTGTAAGATACACAATAAGTAGCTAGTATTATAAGATACACAATATGTAGCTAGTATTGTAAGATACACAATACGTAGCTAGTATTGTAAGATACACAATAAGTAGCTAGTATTGTAAGATACACAATAAGTAGCCAGTATTGTAAGATACACAATAAGTAGCCAGTATTATGGACTAGTATTTTCAAATAATTAATGAGCCCTTGTCGGGCAGGAGCTCGCATGATTTCTTACTTCAAATGTCCACAGTTAGGTCCACTAGTCAAATTAGATCTTAAGTTGGGGCAGCATCCTATCTAGGGGAGAAAAACCCCACAATTAAACTTTGCTACCTTGTATACTTCACTTGGATGGATACAGTCTATGGAAACAAATCCAGGCTGAAGTCAAAGTCATCTGGTCATAAGGAGCATAACATGTTGAACCATAATTTGATGGAGGAAATCAACTTTAATTTTACAGTCCAGAAAGAAGAAAACATTTATGATACTAAATAATTACTATTGCAAGAACAAAACTCATCTAGAACATTGTTCAAATTGATTTTTATAGTACTAAAAGTAGTTTTTTTTTTAATTTATTCAAACACGTGTATAATTACAATACAACTGTACACATTTATTTTTAGACCCATTGTCTTTTACTACGCCTCAAGTCTACTACTGATCAAATAATATATTACAACTCCCATTTATTGTTACAGTAGAGCAGTCACAGCATAATACTGCTAATATAATATATCACTTCTATAAGTTCATTATTACTGCTCAAAACAATA